TATGATTCTATGATTGAGTGGAATGGATGTTTAGGAGCATCCTGGCTGGAAAGCTCTGGCAACTTGTCGCATTTCCTTTGGTAGTGGCTGGAAAAAGTGTGATTGCTGCTTCTGTTGCTTTGTTTGGTTCTGTTGCTTTGTTATGTGTGGTTTGTTTTGGGGTTTTGTCCGAAGCCCAAATTCAAAGCAGAAGTGTCTTTCCACTCTTTTTTTTTTTTTTTTTTGTGTGTGTTTGTGCACTGGAACAAACCTCTCTGGGGTCAACAGCAAGGAACCTTGATACAGGTTGATTGGTGAGACACTGGCACAAATGTGTTTTCTAAGCTCTGGCTAGAATGACTAAATTTACTCTGTAGCCTGGCTAGATTCCTCAATAGCCCCAGCACAAAGTGCAGGTTAAAATAGTCTTTGCCTCTCAGTATCTTCCTTACCCCTCTAGGTAAAAAGATAGAGTTAATATGAAAAGAGTTCCACAATTAACTGCATTTTGTTTCAACATTCAGCATTCTGATTCACATTGTTTGTGAACAGATCAGTTGTGACTTTGTGTAGTAGTGGGTCCTGAGATTCAGCTGTCTTGTTTGCATGGATGTAGTTTGAAAAACTAACTCTGATTTTTTACCGCTGGATGCTATGATCATTTCACCATTGATTTTTTTTTTCATTCTTTAGAGAAAGCCAGTAGTGCTGACAGGAGTGGAACTAGGCACTTGCACAGCCAAATGGACAGTAGACTACTTGAGCCAAGCTGAAGGATCTAAAGAAGTAAAGATTCATGTGTCTGCAGTGCCACAGATGGATTTCCTCAGGAAGAACTTTGTGTACAGGTACTTCACTTCAAGGCCTCTTGTGTTTTAAAGGCTTGTGCTTGTAACTTGCAGACATACAGTACATCTGCTTGAAGCTGAGGGTGGGAATATGAAGATAGTAGTTTGTGAAAACATTTAATTATGTATGGAAGTGCTGTCCTTGATTTCCCCCTCTTCTGTTCATTCTACAAATATCCTAATGCCCTGAATAAATACTAGGAGGGCAAAAGGAGGGGCCAAACAGGGCCTTAGAACTGATGTCATGAAGAATTTGAGCCTGGCATTTGCTGCCATTAATGAAAAAGACAAACCAAAACACCCTTGATACTAGATGCTATGCTGTTTTGCTCTAATTGCATGGTATGTTTTCAGTGTTACTGAATAGTGATAGTGTCTGACTCACCGTATGTCCGAACCTCTGTGGATGTTGGTGTATGTCAGGCATGGTGTTCCACTCTAGGAGGGATGTAACTAATTAAAACCAAGCTCCTTTCACAGTTAGTATGTGTAGTTCTCAGAATGTTCAAACTACTGGGTACTGCACATTTCTCCAGCTCTTTAATCTCGAGGTGGGTCACAAAAACCCTTAATCTCCTCTAGAGTCCCTCTTATGTAGCTGCCAGAACATTTCTTCAGAGTTCATCTAATCCCAGTCGTTGTGTTATTCTTCAAGGATAATATTCTTCAAGGATAATATTCTTCAAGGATAATATTCTTCAAGGATAATATTCTTCAAACAACAGCCTTTATTTTAGCTGTTGTTTGTGTTCCCCAAGTGTGAACTGGATGTGTTAAACTTTTAAGCAGGTGGAAATGTAGGCTGCAAGTGTAAACAAACTATATGCCTCTGCGTGGAGCCTGTTGTTCAAGGGGAAAAAAAACATATTACAATGATGGTACATTCTGCTCACTGCATAGTGAATCTTTGAAATTCAGTTGTACTTTAATGACTTTGCCTTATCTCCAAATTTTATTTTCCTTGCTCTATTCTCTTTTTTTTCTCCGTATATAATATCTCTTACTGTGAGTTCACATACCGGTGATCCTGTGTGCTAGTTTTAGCAGGTTTATAGACAGCCATACAGAGTCTGATGCTCTGATGGTGCTTCATTGTAGCACGTGTCAGACTTTGACCTACTTCACCTGCATTTCAGGAAGCTTTGACCCTTTCCACAGAAAGCCTCTCATTCTAATCTGAAGGGAGAATAAGTAGAACCAAAAGAATAGAAACACTGAGGGCTTAACATGCAGTTCCATGAGTTTAAACTGATGCACATGAATGCAGTCCTGCTGTAAGTTGCATGCTCCTACCCGTCTTTGTGTTGGTTCTGAAACTCATTCAGCCAGGTTGTGATGTGCTGCAGAAATCTGGATGCTTTTCTGCTGTTTCAGCTTTGCAGGCAGGTTCACCATGAGGTCAGATGAGTGCCAGTGCTGCTGTAAGGGAGGAGATGGGGTGATTAGGGTAGACAGCAAGAGCTGAGCTGTGGCAGCACCACTTTAAGCTGTGATAGAGCTGTGCTCTCACTTTCTTCAGTAGTAAATGTAAGTGGGCATGATATAACAGTTCAGCTGAAGTCAGAGCATAGTTTCTGTTTGTTTTGCCATTAACTTCAGTGTTTGTTGTATTTGCCTGTTACTAACAAGGCTAAAATATTTAAAGAATTGGTCTAAGTACTGTCAGATGCAGGTCACATTCTGTAGAAGGCATGACAGGATAAAGAAAAATTTTGCTTGAGGATAGTTTCTTATTAACCCTGGGTACCTGGTTGTTGCTCCAAAATGTGATGTTTACATGCAATAATGCATTATCCAGTGACACTTAGTGTGAGGTGGTGAGACGAGTGGATTCATAACAGTTGAATACATGTCCTGTTACTGCTTGTGCTTGGTTTGCCCTTCAGTTATCAACTGATACCAGAATCTGTAATCCTTATGCAAAGCTCCTATTATTTAAGGAAATACATAACACTTTTACTGACTCCAGAGGGACCAGCTCTAATGCCCAGTGATTCTGGTTGAGTCTTCCAAAGCTGTGCTTAATAAATTCAAGGAAAACTGTAAAGAAACACTTGAAAATACCAAAATGCCTGTGTTTTCCTCAGCTGAGGAAGGACATATTTTTAAAAAAATCAAGATAGACAAAATAAATGTTATATATCTACAAATGAAAAGAGTTATCTCTGTTGATGCACAAATTCATAGCAGAAAATGCATAGATAGAAACCCATGTATGTTCCCCACAGTAACTGCAAATTTATAAAAATCTACAGTAAACAAGTCTAAAAATGACACACTTAAAGAAATATTCTAAGCCAATATTGCCAGGTTTTGGCAACAGTTTGAATCTTAATTTGACTGGGAAGAAATTTGTTGCACTGTGACTCAAACCATTCCAGAACTCTTAAGCTCAAGACATCTTACCACAGTGTATAAATATGGAGTAAAGAAGATGGACCTGGATTCTTAGTGGTTCATGATGACAGGACAAGAGGCAATGGGCACAGGTTGAAATACAGGGAATTCTGCAAGTCTATTTAACATATATACACCTCCTCTTTTACAGTGGGCATGGCTAAGCAATGAAACAAATGGAACAGGTTGCCTAGAGAGGGTTATGGAGTCTCCGTCCTTGGAGCTATGCAAAACTAAACTGGATGCTGTTCTGGGCAAGCTGCTGTAGTTGACCCTGCTTCTGGCAAGGGGGTTGGACTGGTGGGTCTCCAGAGGTGCCTTCTAGCCTCAGCAATTACAGGATTCTGTTTGAATGCACATTGGAACAATTAATTAAACCAGAAAAGTTTCTAAGTATAGGATTTCTATCATGGCAGAGCTCTGCAAACATCTGCTACAAACACATCACCATGTTGAAGTAAAAAATAAAAAAGCAGCGTATTGCATCTTCCATTATACTTGATATGGTAAGGGAACTTATTTCAGACCATGTGTTGTTACATTGATTCATAGTATAAATTTAAATATTTATATTTCAGAACTCTGCCTTTTGATGTATTTGTTCGAAGAGCAGCTGAAGTCAATCACAAGGAGTACTTTCTTTCTGAGGTAATTCACTTACTGTCACAGTGTCTTCTGTCAGTTATTTGACCAGTATGTGGAAAGGAAAATGATGAATTGTAATTTAAAGTTTTCAGTAAAGCACTTGATCTTAGATTTAACTTTTCTGTGGCTTGGTGCCAAGGGGAAAAAATGTGAAGAGGAGTAATTTTTCTAGGTAGTCGTTTTGTATGTGTACAGTGTGGTTAACTTCTATTAAGAAAAACTGCTTACATGAATAAAAATTCCCATATAAAATTTAGAAATCAAACCTTACCTTAGAACAGCAGCTGTATCATTTGTATGTTTTGCAAGAAAATGTCATGAGGATATTTTGGAGTTCTGCTATCAAAATACAAATCCAGATTTATTGTAACATGATTTGTGAGTTGCAAGTGTGTTGCTGTCTTACATATCTTTACATATCAGTGTTCAGGCTAGGGATTTTTCAGATAACTGATTTGGAAGCAAACAGTATTGAATGCAGATGTGCTTTTTGCCTTTTATGCTACATAGAATGCTGTAAGTTTTGGAGCCAATTAAAATAGCTTCCTGCATCAGTGTTTTGAAGAACTTAAATTATAATCTGCATTTACTCTGAGTCTGTTCAGTAACAGCAATGCTGAAGCAGTTGACAAGTCTCTCCCCACTTTTCTACTCTGTTAGCATATTTTTCCACATTTCTTGAGATGAACAGCAGGGATCAGTAGAGTAAAGGCAGCATAGCAAACTGGAGCTGGATTTGTAGATGCCATTTATTTGTACTGTGTTTTAACGAAGCTCTGCAGTAGATTAAAGAGAAAATACAGGTTCCTTGTTTAAGTGTGTTTGTAATTCTTATCAAAAAAGAAGAGCAATTCTCTTTTTGTGTTTTCTTCAGGATGAAAAGTACTATTTGCGATCCGTGGGTGAAGATGCTAGGAAGGTGAGTTATTGAGATTACAGTTCTAATATTGTAAAGTTGCAGTTCAGAAATATTTTTTTAAATCTGTATTCATCTGCTGGATGTGTAATATAGACATACAGCTTATTTAGGATAAGTTTGGTTTGTGACTTTGACTGGATTTAGGCGAGGATATTTAAATGTAAGTATCTAAAATAGTTGCTGTTATGTAAGAGCTAACCTTCCTTTACTTAGCTTTTATTGTATGATTTCTGATGATCTCTTTTTCAGCTCCACATTTCGTATGATGTGAGATGACAGTGAAGTGTTTCCTCATTTCACTGTGCATATATGGATCTCTAAGAATTATGTCCCTCTCATTTCAGGATATTGCAGATATCAGAAAGCAGTTTCCTGTTTTGGCACAAGATATTCAAATTCCAGAATATTTTGAGAAGGAACAGTTTTTCTCCAGTGTCTTCCGCATCAGCTCAGCTGGATTACAGTTATGGACACATTATGATGTAGGTCATGCATGGGTTTAGAATAAAACATTACAGGTCGCACTGCAGAGTTGAGACAATAAGGTGCAAATCTCTGACAAAAATCAGAGAATCATAACAAAATTCACATATTTTGAAATAGTGAAATGAATCACATTCAGTGGTTCAGTGAAGTTTGAATAGATTTATTGTGTGGGCATAATACCTTAACTGGTTTTATGTCCAATTCTCTATTTGTAAGATTAAATGATGTTTTATTTTGTTTCCATTTTTTTTACTGTACTCAGTTTCAGTTAAAAATCTGAAACACAGTAACTATAACATTTTTGTCTTCAACATTAGCTTCATTTTTTCCTTATTTTAATGTCCAGATTAGAAGAAATCCAATTATACAGTGCAATTATACAATACAATGATTGTAGTGGTTTGTGGCTGCAATGCAGTAGACTCCAAATAAGATTGTCTTCTAACATTGTGCACTGTAATTCTGAATAAATTTATTTATAAGAAGAAAAGTTTTTGCAATATTATTAGGAAAAAGAATCATTTATCAATAGAAAATCAGCAAAGTGAGGCAAGGGTAACAACAACAAAAAAAGGAGTACCAAATATATTTTGTATTATATTTTGCTGGTTTTTATGTCTAAAGTATGGTATGTCTTTGTGTTTTAAGATGGAAGAAATGATTCCTATTTAAGGAAAAAGCACAAAGTAATTGGAAAGGAATACTGTGTTTCCAGATACGCTATTTATCAAGAATGTGCAGCCAAGGGGATAAAGTTACTCACAATCTTAAATTTTTTAAATTAACTGTATGTGGAAGCTCTTTTAGCTAATTCTTAACATGTAGAGGTTTTAGTAATTCCCTTTTTTATCTAATAATTAGATTAGCTGCAGCCTATGTATTCATTCTTAATTTTTAGGTAACATCTCTTGTGTTTATTCCAGGTAATGGATAACTTCTTAATCCAAGTAACAGGGAGAAAACGAGTTGTTTTGTACAGTCCTCAAGATGCACCGTATTTATATTTGTCAGGTATGCATGGCATAGGTATCTAGTTCAGAGTTTGATGTTATTACTTGCCTTTCAGCTCACAAATGTTGCACTTTAGGAAAAAATCACTGACATACAACTTGATATAAAAGAAGTAATTTGTTCTCTTAACTCTGATCCTGTTTGCTTTAGTTAAAGCTGAGGAGAACAGAAGCTTTGCCTAGTTGTTTTCAGCACCTAACTGAAGGAATACAATGCTCTGTCTGGGTTCAAAATGGTGTTTTAAATGTCAGGAAAAGTGTTTTATTTTGACTGTTAATAAGGTTGCAGTTACAAGACAAATATAGACAATGGGAGAACATCTCTTCAGTAAATGAGGGGTGCCCTCAGGTTTTCCTGGTTTTTAGAAGACTCAGAGAACAATGATCCAGTATTAAATTTGATGCAAGAACTGCTATTTCTAGCAATGAGGTAGTGCTTTGTTATTGTTGGAAGAATAGGAACATTTATTAATTGAAAACTTTCCTAGGTACTAAATCAGAGGTGCTGGATGTAGATAACCCAGACTTGGAGAAATATCCCCTTTTTGTGAAAGCCAAGTGCTATCAATGTTTTCTGGAAGCAGGAGATGTGTTATTTATTCCAGGTAAGTAACAAATAGTTCCTGACCGTGGTATGTTTTTATGCAGTTTTGTTTCTAATTCTTCATTTCTGGAGATGGTAAGAAATGCCTACTTCTGACTGTACAACTAACGGAATAAAAGCCATTATTATGCTTACCTACAAATCTTACTTTCCCTCAAGTTTATACTGTATGCTTCTGAATTTGTGTATTAATAGACTGACACTATAAACTCAGTTTGAGAAACCTGAGATTACTTCAGTGACCTGAGCAGACTGACACTATAAACTCAGCTTGAAAAACCTGAGATTACTTCAGTGACCTGAGTTTTCTACCGACAGAATTTGTGTGAAGTACCGTTTCTGTTCTTCTATAGCTCTGGCACTTAAGCACTGTGAGGCATCTGGTCTGATGAGAATTATGGATGGTAGAGTTATTGGACCTTCTGGAAATTTATTATAATTTTGGTGGAATGGAAAGACAAGTCCTAATAATTTTTCTGCACAAGCAGAAAATATAAAATTACTTCCTGCACTGAGATGACAAATCGTGATCAGGGAAAGGCATTTGAATTACTCATATTGAGCTACTCCTACTTGTGACTGATTTTGTTTTATTTTAACTCATCATGAGATTGCAGCAGATACTTATTCTGTTGCTTTTATATTATCTGGGCAATATAAACAGGTCAGTAAACAAGAAGGCAGCAGGTTTTTAGGAAGTAATTTTTAAATTGTTTCTTGGCCTTGGACTCATTACTTAATTTTGAACTTACCATTTGTGTTTGTTCCTAAATAACCTTTTGGTTACAGTTAGATAATGGTCACAGTGTTATCACAGTGTTGCTAACATCAGCATCTCTATTTTCTGTTCATGCAGTACAGATATTTGTCTTTGCCAATGGGTGTGCTGATCCAAACTCAAGACACACTCAGTGCTCTTAAGACTGACTGAGGAGTATAAGGATTCTTGAGTCCAGAGAATGGTGCTAGCTCTGTCAGAGTCCTGGAATGCATGTCACTGAAAAAAAGATGGTTTTTCATAAATGTCTGTAGTTATTACAGAGAAGGTAGAAGCAGTCCCTGTTTCTAACCTGAAACTTCTTGTTCATTTCTCAGAATAAACTTCTCAATGTCTTAAGCACATACAAGGAACTAAGCAGCAACATGCACAGCCTTCAGTCTTTTTGGCTTAAAATTCAACTGGAGTAAATATGCCACGTTAAATTTATTTTTAAAATGTACTCAATAAGGCAAAGATGTCCTTGCTTCCTTACCATAGCCTTGATGATTCAATCGAAAAGCCTCATGACTTCACTGTGAAAAGATTAGCAGCTTGCATGGGTGTCCTGGCTGGTGCTTACATTATTGCTTGGACAATCTGTGCAAGGTTAGGGACTAAGTATATGAAAATACATGCCTGCCTTCAGAGTGGAGAGACGAGTGAGGGAAAGTATCTTATTTTCATGCTACACATACTTACCATTTGCTTACTTTTGGGTATCTCTATAATTCAGCAATTGTTGCTTTCATGTGATGTTACAGATCAGTGTAAACATCTTGAAGAATTTCTTAAATTTGGTACAGTGCAGTATGTTCAGGGATGAATATTTATAAATAAACAAAAAGATACAGTAGTTGAGGCTTTGCTCAACTAGGTTTTGTTTGGGAAATTCTGACACTTGTTATGAGTCATGTGGAAGTTTTGGATAGTAATTCTTATTTTAGACATTCTTCTTTCCACAGCTTTGTGGTTCCACAATGTAATTTCTGAGGAATTTGGAGTGGCAGTGAATGTCTTTTGGAGGCACCTTCCTGCTGCCTAGTATAAGACTGACACTTACGGAAATAAAGATCCCGTGGCAGCCTCTAGAGCTATACAGATCTTGGACAGGGCCCTGAAAACACTTGAAGAACTACCTGAGGAATACAGGGACTTCTATGCTCGGAGAATGGTTTTACGCATCCAAGAAAAAGCCTACAGGAATGATAATGGATAAAATAGCACATTGTAATTCAGAAAGCTGCTGTGCGAGTAGAAGATTTTATGTTAGTATGGAAACTGTCCATGTGTACATACATTTTCTGGGAGACCAATAAAAACTGTTGATAAACATTCATCTTTAACAAAGTTGATCTTGTAGATTTTTTTCCTTGCTTTTCATGTGCAGTGAGTGCACAGTCTGCTTGATGTGGAGATGGCCTTTTTTCGACAAGGAGAAATACATTTGCAGTGCCTGCATTTATAACTGTACTTTTTTGGAATGTTCTAGTTAAGTTTTTCTGAACACAAGTGCTGGTATCTGGGCTAGCAGCATGTATGCTTAGAAGTAGCCGTGTGTGTTCCTGAATGTGACCGTAGGAAAGCCATAGTGGTTTCTGAGGACGTCCAAGAACACCGTTGCTGGTGGCTGGAATGGTCATGGTTTCTTTCCGAGTAGTAACTTGAGAATAAGTATGGGGACTTTCTTCTCTCCCTTGTAGTGAGAATGAGAATGGGAAAAAAAAGCAAAAACTAATCATGCCAAATTAAGCTTAGAATTGTGCAGCAGCTTGTCTGCAGGGTAAATTATTTACCCTTTTCTTAGCTGAATAATGTCTTGTGGAGGAAAACTTGTCACTGCCCCAGAGCAGTCAGGCAGCATTGGTGTTCCTGCAGCTGTAAAATACTTGCAGCTAATGCATCCACAAATCCATTCAGCTACAGTCCTAGAACCTGCAATGAAGTTCATAGTTCTGGAGTAGATGTAGAATCTACTTGGAGCTGTACTTGAGGTGCTCTTTGTTACCATTTGAAAGGAGGATTGCATTGCACCTTTTGGGATGGAGCCTGTTGTGTAGGTGGTCACTTTATCAGCAGATTGTGGTGCTTACAACAGCCTTGTGAAATAAAGATGGGGATCTCACAGAAAGGATGGGCATGTCATTGTCTTTCGGAAACCCCTCTCATGTTATTACTTGTGCCGTTTGGGGAATGCAGCCTTTATCTGACTTAGGTTACTTCTAGCAATGTTTTTTGAGAACTGCAACTTGTCAAAAGCTCTTAGACTAAATAGATATGTTGTGTTAATAAAGTGCTGGAAAGAAAGCCTTCTCCAGAAGAGCAGGAGCTTGAACACTGTGCAGATTATTCTTCTAAACCTGTTCTTTTTGGCAATTCAACACAGTGAAAATAGGCTGGTACCACGTGAATGGGCACTCGGCCACCTCAATGAATAAGCATGAATGGAACCAGCCAAGCGATTCTCATGGGCATCATTGTAGGTTCTGAGGATAGAATTTAAATTTGGGATCACAAATAGGTCTCCCCAAATTTTTGTTCCAAAAGGAACAAGGATTGCTTGTGCATACTGCTGAGGCAATCTGTCTGTTAGGCTGGGGTAACCTCTTGGCTTTGTTGGATTGGTAATGTTGAAGGCCCCATCTGAATTGCAGAGGTGAACACAGCATATTCTTTGTGTGTTAGGACTAAATGGAGAGGCTCAGAGAGCCTGCAGGGCTAGACAAAGCTGTGTTCCAGCATTGTGCCTGCACAGTTATCACTTTTAACTACAACCACCAGCAGCTACCAGTACAGAGAGGTACTGTGCTGGTCCCTCGTTCAGCTGTTTCTTGATTCTCCACTCACAAAAGGGAGGTGCTAGCTTGGTGTTCTCAGGCCCCCTCAACACTCAAGTGTAAATAAGGAAAGCTTTGTGGAGCAGCAATCAGTGTATGAGCAATCTGCTGCTGCCTCAGCTTGTGAGAAGTATGTGCTGTGCTTCGGAGGGAGGATGGGAGGGTTCAGGGCTCTTGGGGAGAAGAGAAAATAAAAGGTGGAAAATCCCATGGGTCAAATAGTATCACCATTAGGAGTAAATGTAAGATTTTCAATAACACCTTTTTCATAGTATGTATGTAAAAAGCATAAATAAGATGTCTCAAGCATTCAGAAGGCCATTTTTAATATGTTCAAATCCCCCTTTAAATTTTGTAAGGGAGGCTATTAAACTCAATCTCAACACCTTAGGCCAAATGAAATCCTTGCACCCCTCACTTGCAGTTAGTGCCGAAGTAGCCCAGCAGGAAAGCTGCAATAGTTCACTTGTTTAGGCTAGCATGAAGTTTGGATTGGCAAGTGTGTATCTGGCTGGAAAGAGAGGGTCATGCTGAATTAAATGTTAGCCAGTGCGATTGCAAGTATGGTTATTTCTTCTTCACACTGCCAACTTTAAAATGAAGCCTTTATTTCACTATGAAACAGTTTCTTCAATTTCCTGTTTAGCGGCTTCTATAAAACAGTTGTTCTGAAATGCTATAAAAGAAGAAACCAAGGAGTATAAAAATCTATTTCCTTAATTTGAGCATAATGTGACTAGTGATAAAAATCTTGAAGTTACTGTGGTAAAAAAAATTCAATTATTTGATGCTAACCACTCTGCTACATGGCATGAAACAGTGATGGATGAATGATGAAAGCACTGAAGGAGTAACTTCAGCCAACATAGTGAGAGAATACAAGTAGCCACATTTAAAAATCCATTACTGAAATAACACAAAGAGTTAGAGCCACTGACATTTTGGGGAAGTTTGTCCTTTAGAGACCTAAACCAAAATGGGATCATGCCACAATAAAACAGATGAAGTTGTGGTAAGAGGTATTAGAAAAATAAACACCTACCATCTTAAGCATTCAAAGCAACCACTTCACGCTGTATTCAGCAGACGAGTTGGGTGATGCAGAGTGCCCAGGTCTGAAAGGTGAGTTAAGATACTTAAATAAAGGCAGTATCTGAAATCAACTGTTTAAACCTGGCCTACCTCAAACTTTGAATTACTCAAAAATTTGGTGACTGAGGCCTTTAAAACAGAAGTTCATTGCAAGTCAACACCTGTTAAAAATGATTCATTCTTAGTCATATGAAATATAAAGGATGACAAATGATTTCTGATTTTTTAATGTGCTTGCCCTGGAAAGAATTGAGTGAAAAAATTGTGTCAAAATATTTTTCTTGCCACACTATCAAACAAGCCATTAAATATCTGCCTGTCATGTATGTGCTGACAATTTGATGCCCCTAAGAACATATTTCTCTCCATGATCTACAGAGGATCTAGGTTCTTGATACAAGTGCCTTGATACTAGTATCAAGTTAAATGCCTAATGTAAAAGGGTTTGACTTGATCATGAAGGATCAGAAATATATTTGCAATTCTTTTTAAATATGCAGGATGAAACAATTTGCCTCATTCATGCTGTTAGTCCCACAACAGGACTAACTTGACTAAGATGAGAATGATTCTACCATAGCAGAGGTTATATTACATATGGTGTGATCCCAATATGCATTATTTCACAGCTTCAGAGAAATTTCCTGTACAGACTCGATTTTTTTTCCTCTGACCAAAATGTATCTTCCCAAACCTCATGTTTTCATGCAGACCATAGAGGTGTTGAAGATACACGTTCTGAGACAGTAACTTTTACAAGGGATTCTCTGGAACTTGGTATCACTAGATAACCAAAGATTCCAGCATTACTAGGACAGATGAAATTTTGTTTTCTTAGACAGTTACGTAAGTTTGCAGTAAAGATTTTCTATTTTGCCTTGAGTCAGACTCTAGGAGTGGGGACAGATTCTGAGCTCTGTATGTGGCAATTCCTAAAATGATATCTTTTATGTGGCAATTCCTGAGAGCAGTCAGAGCAGATTACTTTCTTTTCAACTATTCACGTCTGTTCCTAGTCAACACTTTTAAGAGCAGATTGAAAACATTAAAAGAACCGCTTAACCATGCAAAACACACAGCTCCACATCCGATGCTACGTTCATACAAAAAAGCTCAGAAGCCATTGCTTGCAATAACACAGAACACAGTAATAGACAATTTTTGTTGCGAAAACATTCATACTTCAGCTGTCAAGCAGCACATTAATTGCTTTAAGCTTCTTCCATCACAGAAAAGCAATGTATTTCTCATGATGGATGGGGAATGGGAAAGAAGAGCTAAGTGTAGTCTGTACGGTATGCAACAGGCTTAGGAGTATTGCTTAGAGGGTAAACTCCAGTGTGGGTGATGTGAAGAGCCTTGTTTTGCCCTTCAGCACGGGTATGTCTCCTGTTTTGTGTGTCTTGCAGCAGTGCTTTCCTTAGAAACAACTCACTTCTGAAGTGCCAAGTTTAACAAAGGAAACTAACAATCATGACTGAAAGTGCTCTCTGAGAGCTTACTAAAAGAGAAGAAACTTTATTATGAACCTTGAAGTCATGGCACTCTGTTCCTCTTCAAGTACATAAGATGTTTATACACATGAATTAAAAACAAGTAATAATTTATTTTTCCCTTTTGTTCTACCAGATGCCTTTCTGGTCATTTGCTTAAGTAGAATTTGGCATTTTTTGGGTCACTTGGAAACATGTAACGAAGCCCTAATGACAAGAAAGGACAACAAAGCCATCACTGCTTTATAACCGACACTACACTGTATGCAAAATGACTGCCTGAATCACTCCTCCATGGTTTCCACAGTGATGTGGAACAGCTAATCCTGTGCAAGTGTTTTTTTGTCAGCAAGAGGAGTGAATTATGTTGTTAATACCAATAGAATGAATTTAGTCAGGAGCAGTATGTCTGCCACGTAAGTGTTATATGATCTTGCATTACTGGCTTAGCGACTCCATGTTGCTTTTTTCAAGTTAAAAAGTCACCCTGCATCTCAACAGAGTTAAGAGATCAACAACATTAACAGAAAGCCAGCTTTGGTCTTAGGGTCTCCATCTGCAATATTCAATGTATCTAAATTTTTATTGCACAATCATTTTTATCTGTCCATGTCCACAGTTCTAACATCCTAACTCCTGAACTGACTTAGCAGTCTTATTGAAAATAATTTCCATGGTTGCTTAAAAACACAGCACTCCTGTTAGGCATCTCTATCAATAATGCTGTTAATTCAGAAAGATAGAATAGCTTAGTATGAAAGTGCTTGTGCTACCATAAGGGAGGCAGCAAGATGTTA